CCCCTCTCCTCTTGAACAAGCAATAATCATTAAATATTAAGCTGATATATTATAGAAATAACAAAGGAAGCAAACATCACCAGTAGTCACAATTTCATGGTATTCATTCTGATTATTTCTGTGCACATTATGTGTGTATGGGTACTGTGTAGTTTTATAACTTTTTCAGTTAAGCAACTTATTCTAGACGTCTTTTTTTTTTTTTGAGACAGAGTCTCACTGTGTTGCCCCGGCTAGAGTGCCGTGGCGTCATCCTAGCTCACAGCAACCTCAAACTCCTGGGCTCAAGCGATCCTCCTGCCTCAGCCTCCCGAGTAGCTGGGACTACAGGCATGCGCCACCATGCCCGGCTAGTTTTTTCTATATATTTTTAGTTGTCCAATTAATTTCTTTCTATTTTTAATAGAGACGGGGTCTCGCTCTTGCTCAGGCTGGTTTCGAACTCCTGAGCTCAAACAATCCGCCCGCCTCGGCCTCCCAGAGAGCTAGGATTACAGGCGTGAGCCACTACGCCCAGCCTTTAGACGTCTTTATACATGGTATTGCTTTGTTTCAATATATAATGATTATTTAACTAATCCTGTCATTATTGCGTATTTAGGTTGTTTCCCTTTTCATTTAGACATTATTGCAGTGAATATCCTTATCCATGTATGCTTTATACCTAACCAGGTATTTCTAAAGAATAAATAAATTTATAGAAGTATCTGTAAGGTTGGTATCAAATTATATCCCCTTCCACAATGTTACTGCCTTTCCCCACAAGCTTGAAAATACTCATCTTATAAATCTTTTTTTTCTTTTATCTTTCAACCTGAAAACAAAGATATATTTTTGATGATTTTTCCCTAGTGACTAGCAAAGTTCAGTATCTTTATGTTTACTGGGAATTTTTTTTGGATCAACTTTATTTGCCCAATTTTTTATTCAGTCAGGCCCCCTGGAAGTAGCATTTGAAATGAGGATTCTTGTGCAAGTGATTCATTGAGAGAGGGAACAAGGGAAACAGAGCAGGGCAGAAGAAAAGAGGTAAAGTTGTGGTTTCAGGAGAAATTCATCCTCAGCCTAATCCCATGGGGCCTCAGGAGCATGAATTGCACCACCGCGGTCAGAAGGTTGGGCTGTAATGTCCTGCATCAGTCACTGGCCATAGGCCAACCTCAGAGGGAATAAAACTTCCTGGGCATCTCTGCGTAAGGCGATTTCCATTGGTTCAGGACGATGCTCTGGAGAAGGGTGAAGATGACCCATTAGAACTCAACTTCTGAAGCGACTATGCCTCCCTGGGAGGGGGGATCTGTGTGGACACAAATAGCATTTGTTATGTTGGGTGTCTGCCTTTTAAAAATAATTCCTTAAAAGCTAAGGATGTTAAACCTTTTTGGAATATGTATTGTAAATGTACTTTCCTAGTTGTTTGTATTTTTCTAACATTTTTATAGAGACAAATTAATAAAACTGGCTTTGATGATTATGCTTAGGTTTATTCCAATCCAAAATTATTTTAAAAATTAACCTACATTTTTCTCTAGTATTGTACAAGTTTTTTTTTTTAATGTAAATCTTTAATTCACCTGAATTTACTATGGATGTATATTGGGTGTCAGATAGGGATTTGACTTAAATTTTTCCTAAATAATATTAGTTGATACTTCAATAGTTATATGTTAATATAATCAAATAATAATAAAACATAATCATTGGTCCACTCTATATGATAGGCCCTGCTCTAAGCCCTCTACAAATATTAATCTACTTAACCCTTGCAGTAATGTCACAGGTAGGGAAAATAGATGAAGTGAGGAACAGAGAGGTTATGTAATTTCCCCAAGGTCATGGCTAGTAAGTACCGGCAAGTTGGGATTTTAACAAATGTACTTTGTCTTCTATCTGTGCACTTAACTGGTAGGCTGCACTGCCAATTATTATTCCAATTAGACAAGGAGTTAGATAACTTACTGAACAATCCATCTTACAACTGGAGTGGGCTCCCTACTCTTTCAGTGATCTTTGGGAATTTCTGCACCAGTTTGTTCTAATTACAGTACTAGTTTTTGTCATACTCTGTAATATTCAGCAGTACACGTCCCTCCCATTAGGTTTTTCTCTGAAATTTCCTAGGTATTCTCAAACTTATTCTCCAAAAACCAAACACATAAACAAGCAAAAACATCTACAGGCATATTGATTTGGCATTTAATTTGGGGGAAAATTTGACTTAAAATTTATCTCATTCAAGAAAACATAGTGTGTCTCTCCACATATGCCAGTGTTCTTTAATTTCCCTTTATTTCCTATATTCCCTTCTGGTTTTCATTAAGAATTTTCTTCACAGAGGGCCCTACATATATTTTGGTAATCTATGTCTTTGTGAATAGAGTCATCTTTTAAAATTGTATTTTTAAACAGGTTACTATTAATTAAAACTATTGGGTTTTGGCTGGGCATGGTGGCTCATGCCTGTGATCCTAGCACTCTGGGAGGCTAAAACGGGAGGATCACTTGAGGTCAGGAGTTCAAGACCAGCCTGAGCAAGAGCAAGACCCTGTCTCTACAAAAAATAGAAAAACTAGTCGGGTGTGGTGGCGTGTGCCTGTAGTCCCAGCCACTTGGGAGGCTGAGGCAGGAGGATCACCTGAGCCCAGGAGTTTGAGGTTGCAGGGAGTTATGATGATACCACTGCACTCAAGACGGGGTGACACAGCAGGACTCTGTCTCAAACAAATAACAAAAAACCTATTGGCTTTTGTGTATTTACACATAACTGGCCACTTTGCTTAATTTCAGGTATTGTCACCTTGTAGCAATTATAATAAATCAGTGATTCATGTTCTGACAAAAGTAAATATCACAAGGAAACCTGCTCTACAAATAATTTTACCTCCTATTATAACATGAAAATCCTATTATATCTGGTGCAATTGGAGCTAGTTAATTCATAAGGTAGATTAAGGTGGGGCATCATAAAAAATTGAACATACATCCCCTTAAACATGTGAGCTTAAAACATATAAACATATACTCTTAAAGGTCAAAGCCTTTTTTGGGAATGTGAATGCAGTGATGCAAGATCCCAAGCTGCCTTTCTTGAGTTCTGGTCCCTTTAAAGTAGAAAGAGAACTTATGACTTTAGTGAAACAACCTGAACAACCTGAGTGCAGAATTTCTACTAGATCACCCCAAAATCTTAGCTGTCCTGCTCACACCTAATTTAACAGTTCTTTTTAATGATGCACCTTTTCCAAACTTTTTCAAAATATCCACTTAGTTTTCCCGGGAATTCTTTTTTGTTCCTCATAGTTCACCAATTTTCATAATTGTTAAATTAACTTACATAATTTAAAATACTAAATACAACTGGCATAAACAGATTTGTGAAGAAACAGC